ACTAGGAGCAAGGACGCTACTAGGGGCTCCTGGCATCGCTACTAGGAGCAACGACGCTACTAGGGGCTCCTGGCATCGCTACTAGGAGCAAGGAGTGCCAAAGGGCATCGCTGCTAGGAGCAAGAAGCTACTGGTACTAGTAGATTCTAGAAGCTGCCAACATCGCTTCCGGTGAACTTTGGTGCCAGGAGCAGGACCTTCGCACCTGCTTAGAGTACCTTCGACAGTTGCCCCGCAGCTCAGAAGCTTGCATATATCAAGGCATGACAAAGCATGCAGAGATCTTGAAGTTGGATACCTCCAGGTCCTCTAATGCATTGTCACATATTGTCATAATTCCACAAGGGGAAAGCCAATGAAAGGATTACATTTTGCCTTAGTAAAGTGCTATTGATGAACTTTGCTAGTACGTTGGAGGCCATCGCTATTAGGTTGGAGGCCATTGCCATGTCTTACTGTTGACCTTGATGAGGCCTACGGTGTCGTCTATCGGGCTGTGGGGCAGGCAGAAGTTGTAGACACTGTTCGGAAGTGTTTCGAAAACTCCAGTATGTTTTCCTAGCTGGTGGGCCGCAAGAATTGGAGAGTTGACTTTGAGCTTTCCAAAATTGGCTCAGGATTCGGCACAGCTCTTAATTCCGCTTCCAGGTCAATGGGAGCGTCCACATCCATTCTTCGTGCCGCAGAGGACGCCAGCACAGGAACCAGTTGAAAACATACAGGCATATCTATCCAGTAGCAGGTGGCAAGGTACTGGCACTGTGCTTGTGGTTTGTGCGGACAAACCGAGGATTCGAAGATCGCCGCTTGTGTTTTGGACTCGGCCTTCAAGGAGCCGATGCACATAGATAGCAATAAAACAAACAAAGATAGCATAAAACAGCATGAATAGTAATGGCCTCCAACCTACTAGCAATGGCCTGCAACCTACTAGTGATGGCCTCCACCTGATAGGGATGGCCTCCGACCTAATAGCGATGGCCTCCAACCTAGAAGGAACCATTTGGTCTCATGGTACAGATTTGATCATTGCTTGCCCCACCCTGCTTGTGAAGGATCTCAAAACCGTTGCGGAGGAACTGGTTGGCAAGGGCAGGCGACATTATCCTGATGTATCTCATTGCGTGCTAGCGACAATCGATGTTGATTCGGTACAGTGAGTTCTGCTATGTTCTGCTAGTAATTACAAGTGCATCGCTAGTAGTAACAAGTGCCTTACTAGTAGTAACAAAAAAGCTATTAGAAACAAGTG